GCTCGCCTGGAGTCGTCGCCTGTCGTCCCTAGCGGAGGGCGGAGCGGGCTGGTAGGACCACGGCGGAGGTGAAGCCCTCGGCCGGGCTCCGGTCCGCCCCGCGTGCGGGTGCTGATGTGGGTCGGAACCGCTCCGACGGTCGCTGTCATCGGTGTGGTCCGAGACGCCAACCCCGGAGCTGGGCTTCTTCTTCGGGAGAATTGTCATAGTGGAGCGTGTGAGGGGGGGTAGGAAGGGGGTCAGAGGATGAAGAGTCCTCCCTTTTTAGATCAAATGTTTCGGTGTGTTCGCCCTCCGGCCCGCCCGTTTGGCTCTAATCACCGAGCTAAGGCTCTTAACGAACCGAAACGGGCGACAGAAACCACAGCTCGATTCCCTTTCGACGGTTTAGCTGAACAAAAACAAAACGCGTCTCCCTCTTCCCGATCTCCTGCCGACCAGTCCCCAAAACATCAACACAATCTGACGGACGGCAGGGACGTCACTTCCTGGTTGGACGTCCCTTTTTTGCGTCAGCACGTTAATCGGAAGTAAAATTTATCTCAAATTATTATTGTTTTATCCTATCTCACTTACTGGTCTGGTATCATTTTACAAAAGGGATCGCACCGAACAGGAAGTGTGTGACTTCCTGTGAGCTTTTTGCCTGGCGAGTCCCAGCCAACGGGCGGTCCCTGGACTGGGGAGTGGGAGGTGACAGGTGAGGGTTGCGGGATGGTTAGGATCGGGGGAAACCCTTGGACAGATTTCACCACCCGAGTCTTGGATGGGACCACCTCAGGGCGTGTTCCGAGTTGCCTCGCAACCGGCGCTGAGGACGCTGATCGGTGATGAAGAACAAAGAGCCACAGCAGTCTGAGGTGTTCACATCCTGCTCAGTGAGAGCAGGAAGATCAGCGCAGTGTCCCGTCAGAACCAAAACCTCCAGGAAGAACAGCTTCCGCTGACGTCAGTCCTCGGGGCGCCACCGTGTAGAGAAACGTATACACCCAGCAGAAAACTCGATTCAGTCAACACCGGGGCCAGTTAAGGATCTGTGGCTCATTTTGGCGCTTAACAGTGCGTTTGTTCATAAGGAGTCGCCTGAGAAAAAGAAAAATGCGCCACCGCTGGACTTTGCGCGTGTCTACCTTAAGGTGTTCCCGTTCAGGGACCAAAAATCAGGAGGAGAGGATGGGAATGTATACAGATACCATCAGCACCTGATTTACCATCAGTGCGACAGAGCTGATGGTAAATCAATTAAGTCAGGCTAGTCAGTTAAGAACATGCTTGAGGAGGGAGAGGGTGTTTGTAAATCTAATCGCTTGCCAGAGGAGAATGTGAGGGACTTGTACACGCTTTCAGTTCATTTACAAACTCGGTGTCGGTAAATTCGAGTGCAGCATTATTTTGCGTGTCGGAGGTTTAGTAAATACCCCCCTGGCTTTGGCTCAAAGTTAATATTTGATCAAATCAAAAATCATCCGGGCAGAGAAGTTGACGTTTTTCCCTTTCACACCCAAACCTTTGCATGCTCCTCTATACGTCATTACTAAGCGCCATGAGCAAACCTTTGCATGCTCCTCTATACGTCATTACTAAGCGCCATGAGCAAATTTGCATGCTCCTCTATACGTCATTACTAAGCGCCATGAGCAAAGGGCTTAAACAGCAGCCCTAACCTTGATCCTAATCATTCTATGCTATAATCAAAGCAATCCCTACCTCTCTCTTATGTTTGATTAAAGGGTATTTAGGTAACCCTACTCCAATCAGCCCATCTCTCCCACAGCTTTAAATTGGAGGCTGTGCTTTAAATCAACTCAAATACCCAAACAAAAAAATGAAATTAAGAAATATCCTAAACAATATCTCGCGCCCCTCTTCTCAATACAGAAATTCTATCTTACAATTCTTTCCAAAGGAAACTGTTTGCTTGTTACGAACAAAGTATTTTCATTTCCCTGTCGCTCCAAAAGCCAAGGAGCTTCATTTTAAAACCTTGAATGACATATATCCATCCAGTCCTTTGTTGAGACATTGATTTGGTATTGAATCCAATAACTGTGTATTTTGTGACAGAGGTGAAAATGCAGAACATCTTTTTTTCCAATGTACATTTGTGAAGAACTCCTGGCATGAGGTTTTTGTTTGGCTCCGATCAAAGACTCACCTCCTAAATGACTTCACCCAAAAAGACATTATTTAGGGACTCCTGATGGACAATGCCAAAGCTGACTTCCTGATCAACAACATCATAATTTATGGGAAATTTCATATAAATAAAGCTAAGTATATGAAAATTGTACCTTGTTTCTGTAAATTTCTCAATGAGTTTCTTGTTTTTGTCAAAGTCTAATGAAAACCAAAAACACTACAATACTTTTTAATTTAATAGAATTTGATTTTTTAACATGACTTTTCACTTTTAATTTTATTTGATGTATTATTTTTACTACTTTTTTTATTCTAACCTTATTTTATTTATGTATTTATTTTCATCTTTTCTCTCCTTCCTCTCTTGTTCTGTTCTTTGATATTGTACCTGCTCTATATTAATGTTATGGAATACTAATGTTTGCCACATTTGTTGTAAATACAGCTGTTCAATAAAAAAAAAGCAGCACTGACCTTTTGCCCTGGGTCTTGCCTCTCAGGATACAGGCTGCCCTAGCCACATCTCATTTCTCTTCATTGCACACGTTTCCCTAACTTGGTTCTAAGAGATGCAGGAAAAGATGTGAGGAACTCGGTCTTTGAACAGGAGGGACACCTGCTTCTGATGACTGTGGCTCAGCTGGATCACAGCTGGATCCTTTCAGTCGGACCTGCTGTAAATTGCTGACTAGCAATTAACCCCAACACCTAACCCACTATTCTGTTTAAACTGTGCTCAGATCAGTCAAACCACGCATGCTCCTCACTCTCACGTCTATGGCAGCAGTGTGTTTTTCTGCATTTATTGATTCTGTTTGCAAATTAATTTTTCAATTATCCAAGTTATGATCATAACGTTTTACAATGTGCAGCAAAAATGATTTATCAGCACAAGTGATTTAGACAAAGTGTAAAGTGTGTAAATCACAAGCTTTTATATTCTCAGCCTCACATGTGACTGAGTGGAAATGATTAGGTAAAGTGGGTTTATGGCTGAGGGAGAGAAGACTGTCCAGCTCTATGAACAGTAATGAAGAACGTTTCTGATGGTTCCTTTGTGAGTCAGACCTACAGTTACAGATTTCCTTTAAACCAGATGGTAGATCTGAAAATAATTCAAACCATCCATCCATCCATCCATTTTCCTCTGCTTATCCGGAACCGGGTCGCGGGGGCAGCAGTCTAAGCAAAGATGCCCAGACTTCCCTCTCTCCAGACACTTCCTCCAGCTCTTCCGGGGGAATGCCGGGGCGTTCCCAGGCCAGCCAAGAGGTCAATCTCCCGTTCCATCCTTCCCTCACTCGTGAACAAGACCCCAATATACTTGAACTCCTCCACTTGAGGCAGGAACTCCCCACCAACCCAAAGGGAGAAAGTTTCTGACTGAGAACCATGGCCTCGGACTTGGAGGTGCTGATTTTCATCCCAGCCGCTTCACACTCGGCTGCAAACCACCCCAGTGCACGCTGGAGGTCCTGGCTTGATGGAGCCAACAGGACGTCATCTGCAAAAAGCAGAGACGAGATCCTATAGTCCCCAAGCCGGACTCCCTCCGGCCCCTGGCTGCACCTAGAAATTCTGTCCATAAAAATAATGAATAGAACCGGTGACAAAGGGCAGCCCTCCCGGAGTCCAACATGCACCGGAAACAAGTCTGACTTGCTGCCGGCAATGCGAACCAAGCTCCTGCTCCGGTCGTAAAGGGACCGGATGGACCTTAGCAAAGGGCCCCGGACCCTGTACTCCCGGAGCACCCCCCACAGGGTGCTGCGAGGGACACGGTCGAATGCCTTCTCCAGATCCATGAAACACATGTGGACTGGTTGGGCAAACTCCCATGAACCCTCCACCACCACTGGACCCTAGAGCTGGTCCAGTTTTCTGCGGCCAAGAATTCAAATCAATTCAGTTTTATTTCTATAGCACCAATTCACAACCACCATCATCTCAGGACACTTTACACTGTCTGGTCTAAACTCTATTATTATGATCATTATTATTAAGAAAAACCCAATAAATCCCCCTTGAGCATGCACTCGGTGACAGCATCTTGCTAGTTCCTGTCAGTTCTCTGCCTGCAGCATTTTGTATTAACTGGAAACTTTTTAGGGACTTACTGGGACGTCCTGAGGGGTAAACAGCTACTAAGGTACAGTATTGTTCAAAATAATAGCAGTACAATGTGACTAACCAGAATAATCCAGGTTTTTAGTATATTTTTTATTGCTACATGGCAAACAAGTTACCAGTAGGTGCAGTAGATTCTCAGAAAGCAAACAAGACCCAGCATTCATGATATGCACGCTCTTAAGGCTGTGCAATTGGGCAATTAGTTGAAAGGGGTGTGTTAAAAAAATAGCAGTGTGGCATTCAATCAGTGAGGTCATCAATTTTGTGAAATAACAGGTGTGAATCAGGTGGCCCCTATTTAAGGATGAAGCCAGCACTTGTTGAACATGCATTTGAAAGCCTGAGGAAAATGGGTCGTTCAAGACATTGTTCAGAAGAACAGCGTACTTTGATTAAAAAGTTGATTGGAGAGGGGAAAACCTATAAAGAGGTGCAAAAAATTATAGGCTGTTCAGCTAAAATGATCTCCAATGCCTTAAAATGGAGAGCAAAACCAGAGAGACGTGGAAGAAAACGGAAGACAACCATCAAAATGGATCGAAGAATAACCAGAATGGCAAAGGCCCAGCCAATGATCAGCTCCAGGATGATCAAAGACAGTCTGGAGTTACCTGTAAGTACTGT